ACAGCTCAATAAATTGAGACTCCTTGGTGCTTTTCCTCAAGGCTGAAACAGAATATTGTGTGAAAGTAGTTCCTTGGTACAAACATAGACACATAAGGCTTCACAGAGAATTTCAGTGCCAGGCTTCTTCATAGTTGTGCTGTTTGGCATTTTCCCAAGCACCTCTCTTTGTGAACAAGTTTTGGTAGACTCCAGTTGTGTCACTTACAAATATCGAGAACCAAGATGGAAACTGAAAGTCACAAACAAGTGCGTGCAGCATAAGAAGACGGATCTCTGCATTTAACAGGGTGCGATCAGTCGATGAATGAGAAATGAAGAATTATGATGATGATTTCCAGCACAGGCTCAGTCAGAGACCTGAGATCTAGCACTTCCCTCACTTATATCCTGTTTGACTCTAGGACATTAACATCTGAGCCTCAGTTTCTCCATTTAAAAAAATGGGAATAATTATTTTACCTATATTATGAGGTTGAAGAAAGGATTAAGTTAAATTACATATGTAAAGCAGTCAGTACAGCGCCTGGCACATAATAAATTTTGAAATATTTGTTACTTTTACATTAATAATTATTATTATCATTACTAGTTTTAATTGGGAAATGCTTTTCAAAATGATCACTTTGAATTTAACTTATATGTCATCTGATCTGGAAGTATAATAAGGGTATCTAATTCCTTCTGATTTAGTGAGTCAAAGAGAAAACCAAAACAAATTGAATCATTCAACTGGTGTATTTAGAATTGCTGATGATTATAGTATTCAAGAAAGTTAGTGAAACACATAAATTGCAATTCAACTGTTCTTGAAAATCTACAATATCAGTTTTCATTTATCTGATCTAACAGTGGATAAGACTTACTTATTTATAAAAAGAGCCTCCTTAAGAAGAAACATCATGTAAGTGAATATGGAAGAGATAAAAAGTGTTAATATGCTAAAAGCACTTATGTTCTCTCTTAGGCTACAAAAATCTAGGCATCTCATTTGCACAGTACATTATTCTTTTCATGAAACCATCACTGCATCACCATTTTATTCACACACACACACACACACACACACGAGGCCACCTGCGTATGTGCAGCTTCTTTGTTTTCAGCACTGATTCTCAACTAGGTCTGAACTCCTGTTAGAGCCCTGGGTGGTTGGAAGGGAAGGTATGGTGTTAGTAAGAAGCTTATGGGACTAGTCCAGAAAACTCATTCAAAGTATAATCTAATTAGCAAATTTTGAAAGGGGCTGGTACACACATTTCATTTATCATCTAATTAAAAAAACTCCACAATACAATTTGGACAAATTCACCAGTATCAAAGGCCCTAATGTAGCATAATTTGAGTTGAATGTGTTGCATTTTGACAGTGCTATAATCCAGGGAGACAGTTTACTGACAATTCTGTGCTACCCAGTACCAACTCAGGCCTCTGTAAAGTTTACATTGTCAATTTTTTGTGGAATCATAAATAGTTACAAACCCTCATAGGATGCTGAACTTTGGATTGCAAAAGATGAGATGGACAGATTCATACTTTCATTACAGATTTTTTGTCTTTTCAAACTGCTGAGAATAATTTTTAAGCCAGGAAATGCAACTAATGTTTGTTTCTAGAATGACTTCTGTTTTGAGATTTTTGTCTTTGTAGAAGAAATGTGTTGCCCAGCTGTCTAGAATCCCAATCAGGATATGGTTTCAACATGAAATATATTACAGGAATGATTTTAGCTGGTTTAAGCAGGAATGAAATACGCTGACACTATTTTATCCATTTTTTACCCTCAGAACCGGCATCCTGGGTCAGTCCAATGGATGGGTCAGTCCAATATGAACAAATGAGGCAAAGTTAAGGAGAGTTTTTGTCCAAAAAAGGAGAGAAATTCTTAAAAGCAAAGTGTTGCATTAGTCAACAAGCAGAACTGTTGAGATTCTCACAAACAAGAGTCATGCAGCAACTGTCTAAAACTACTAAGGTCAAATTTAAGAGTGGTTCAATCTGAGCAGAATTGACAGAAAATACACCGGTCAGCTTTTCTATTGCTGGGACAATATACTTGACATCTACAACTTAAAGGAGGAGAGGTTTAACTTGACTCATAGTTTCAGAAGTATCCATGGACAGCTGAAGCAAGGTAGGAACATTATTGTGGAAGGGCATAGTGAGTAGCAGCTCATGTCATGGTGGCCTGGAAGCACAGCATATGGGAACAGTGCCAGCAAGAGATATACCTTCCAAAGGCACACCCCAGTGACCTAACTCCAACTGTCCCACTTCCTCAGGGAACATTCAGCTATGACTATCAGTGGGTTAATCCACTGATGAGTAAAGGTCCCCATGATTCAATCATCTTTCCAGGAGTCTCTTAATCCAGCCAAATTGACAAGATTAACTGGCACAAAGAGTTTAATGCTTGGCAGTTTTAATACTTCTCCTACCTACATAACACACACACAAACACACACACACAGAATTAAACAAATACAAATTTAAAACTTCCTGTATAGAGGTCCCAGAACTAGTACCATTTAATGGGAAAAAATGCAAAGATGACTCAAGTTCTACCTTTTCTATTTTGTGGAAGAGACAAACATTTCAACCATTACACAATATTTTGGATACCAAGACTTTCAATTTTTAATGTTTCTGAAATACTCTCACTGGGTATATTTGATTATATTCTCTCTAAATGATGACATGAAATCTACAGGTCTTATACTAGAAGGAAATTTAAATGTTAAATGTGAATATATTATTTTAAGTTCAGTTAAGTAGCATAATGAGAACATAGGGAAAAAAACCCCTAGACTTCAGCCTTCCTGAAGGAAAATATTCATGGAATAACCCTTGAACAAAATGAGAAGAAATCTACCAGGCAGGAATCTTTGATAAGGGCAATGAGAAGGAAAAGATAGAAAGATACTGTAAGTACAGGGAAGAAAGTATAGAAAGGCATTATGAAATACGACGGGCAAATATGGGAGTACTGCTTTACATTGTATGAGAAGGGGTTAGGGTTGTAGCATAGTGGTGGAGCACTTGTTTAGCATGCATAAGTCCCTGGTTTTAATCACCATCACCCCCTAACCAGACTCATATTCAAATTATTACAAAGGAAATTTAGAAGATCCAGAAGTCAGGTGGGCATTCAGACTATAAAGACTTTTGTAATTTTTTTTTGAAGACACTACTATTTTTAAATGCAAGGAAGACTAATAGGATACATTACTAATGGAATGCATGGATGTTATCTAATTTAATTTTCACAAATGTTTCCAAAGCATTACCCCATCCCCGACTCCTTTTGCTGATAAGGAACAAAGTTACAAAAAGATTTAATAAAATATCAAGAACATAATGAAAGTCAGGTTCTATACCATTTGTTGGATTATACAGTGTATGAAGTATCTAAAATGTCACCTTACAATGTTTTAGACTTCTTGATTTTCATTTCCTACTTTTTAAATTTTTAAATTAATATCATTTTGAGTAATTTTAAGTTTACAGAAAAATTGTGCAGAAAGTACATAGAGTTGTCATATACCTCACCTCACTTTCAATGTTAACATTTTACAGTCGTGGGTTAACTTTGTTCCAACGGATGAGTTAATATTGATACACTGTTATTAATTAATATCCATGGTTTACCTTAGAGTTTACTCTTGGTGTTGTATATGTTATGTTTTCATTGTTTGTTTTAAAATGCAGTCTCACCATTTAGCCTAGGCTGTTCTTGAAATCCTGTGGTCAAGTGTTTCTCCTACCTCAGCCTCCTGGGTGGCTAGGGCTATGGGCATGTACCACCCCGCCCGGAAAATGAGTTTGACAAATATATAATGACATGAATTTACAATTTCAGCATCATATGGTTTTTTTCAACTGTTCTTTGGAATCTCTTCTTCTAACAGTACACTTATTCATCTCTCTCTCCCTCTTCCTCAAATTCTTTGCTACTGTTAAGCTTTTACTATGGTTTCAGTTTTTTTCTGTTCCACAATATCATACAGTTCACCTTGTATAGTCTTTTCACTCTGGCTTCTTCAGCAATATACATTTAAAGTTCCTCCAAGTCTTTTCATGGCTCAATAGCTCAGTCCTTTCTATAACTAAGTAATATTTCATTATATGGATGATCACAACTTGTTCATCTATTTCACTTACTGCACTTCACTTTTTGCCTTCATTTTTCCCCTATTGGGTGCTGGGGATCAAACTCAGGGTCTCATGCATTCTAGAAAAGTGCTCTTCCACTGAGCTATACCTCAAGCCTTGCCTTTAAGTTCATGATTAAAACTGCTGTCAGTATTTGTATGCAGGCTTTTGTGTGGACATGTTTTCAAATCATCCAGGTAAACACCAAGGAATGCAATTGCTAAATTGTGTAAAATATATTTCTTTTAATAAAAAATGCCAAATGTTTTCCAAAGTGACTAAACCATTTTCCATTTCCCCAGAAATGAGTTTCTGTTGCTTTGTATTTAGTAAGTATTTGGTGTTGTGTTTAAGGTTTTACTCATTTTAATAAGTGTGTAGGCATACCTCATTGTTCTAATTTTCACCTCTTTGATAACATATAAATTTCTTAATTTTTAGGTTCTTTCTCCTCCTATTTATATATTTTCTTAATATGTGATTTTGACTACTATTATATTTCTTGCTTTCTTTCATCAACATATGTTAAGTGCCTATTATAAGCCAGTAACTTTTTAAAAACTGGGTTATTTTGCTTTCTTTTATTATTCCTTCTTCTGCGATTAGCTTGCCATGTTGCATTCATCATTTATTTTACATAAACTATTAGTTTGTATTTGTTATATTTATCTCCATATAAACTGGATACCTTTCACTTTTTTGGTGATAATTTTAAAATTTCTTCAACTTTCTCTCTCTTCCTTAAAGTGTCTATCATTATTTATTCACAGTACACACAGTGCAGAATTTGAAGTATTGTTAGAGATGTAACTACTGAAATAAACATCTGAAGTAAAGAAATCACTTACCTTGGTTGACGATAAATCTTAGCTTCTGTATTGTTGCCAGATTGCCACTAACTCTATATATCCCATCAACATCCAGACCTGAAAATAAAAGCGCATATTTTATATTAATGCATATAAGAACTGAGATGGTAAACAATAAATATAAGAAGTAAGAGAGTAATAAATTTCTATTAAATATCTCTTCCTCACAGATAAAACAAATTTCTATATCCTAAACTGAGCAAACTTCAAAAGTTCAGTGGCAATTAATCACCAACAAATTTTTGTCTACTTGAACCACAAAAGAAGTACAGGAACCATGAGATTATGTGGCATTTTATAGAGTTAATTTCAATGAAAATATAGCAATCAAACTAGCCGATAAAAAGAACCTCTCCGTATATGTATGTTACTTCTCTTTTATGGAAAGGTAAATAAAGGTGCTTGCCTAGCATACCTTGTTCTAATTATTTCAAACTATAGAATGAAAATCCTAATCCAGATGTATAACTAGTTAGATAACTTTTGACATATAGTAGGTAATGTAGTATTATGTTAGTGAGGGAAAAATAAATAAAATCTTTGCCAAAATGGTGATATTAGTTTCAGATTACTTTAGAACTGGGCATCAAAATGAGTTGACTTGGAAGGGGATTTGAAGATCTATTACTTTTTTTGGACACATTTATTTATAGCATCTAGTTATTTTTTGACAAGTTATCAGAAAGAGTGAGATATAGGAAAATTAAAAACAAAGACTTATAATATAATGCCAGAAATGTGTACTCTTTGATAACTGTAGGCTTTCAGAGAGGCCTGGGTGAGATTCATAGCACTTTGTCTAAGAAATTGAGAAAATTCCATGGGTTAATCATTGTAATTCATAATAGTATTAAATAAATTGGGTGAAATCACTGCCGTAATGGAGGAAACAAATGCTTTACAGGGCTTTTTACAGACATGAAGTGAGCTCCTTCAGTGCTTTATCTGAGTCTATATTTTTAAAATGCTTTATATTAAGAAAATCACTGCCATTGTGGAAAACATTTCATTGGTAGGTTATGGTAGATTAACATAATTTAGGGCCGGGGATTTAGCTCAGTGTTTCCACCGCCTGCCTCGCAAGCGCAAGGACCCAAGTTCGATCCCTGGTACCAAAAAAACCCCAAACAAACAAACATAATTTATAGCACTGATCTTAATGACAAAATTTAGAACAATCATTTAGAATAATCATGCTTTTTATTCTTCCACGTAAGAAACTGTAGAATGACTTGAGACAGTGATGGAAAAAATTGAATAACTACTAATAAATATATTACTGGATATAAGTTTTGTAGTTCTAGATGAATTGAACAAAAAACATTAAATTTCTGAGACTCCATCCTTCCAGAGAACTATGGATTGTGAGGAATTAAACGCAGCTACTCACCCGTTAGTAAGTGGTCAAAATTTCTAAGGTTCAGGCATTGAAAAAAAAAAATCAAACATAGTCCTTCTTCTTGATGCACAAAATAGTTCCATTAAGCTAAGGGTACTCCAGTCTCTTGACAGCGTGCACCTGACACCCTCAATGGGACTATCATCTCACTTAAAAATTTTCTAATATTTGATTCTTAGTTTTAGTATTGATTCAAATTGCCTTTACATTTATGTATATATGCACAGAATATTAAGTTTAATGTGTGAATAATGTGTTAATTATTTTTCTCCCTTATCATTAAATATTGGTTGGTATTTATTTATTTCCTTATTTATTTATTTAATTTTTTTGGTACTGGAGATCGAACTCGGGACCTTGCGCTTGAGAGGCAGGCGCCAGAAGGTTGGTATTTATTTTTTTAATTTTTTTAATTTTTTATTTTGTTTTTTTGGTACCGGGGATTGAACTCAGGTATTTATTTTTAACCGGTAACATTTTAAAAATATTGACATTTGTACAATTAAGCAAGTGTGTCCCTTTCAAAGGTTTTCCGTTTAATTTTTTGAAACACTTTTTAGGCACTAAAAACAATACTTTTGATTTCTCTAAAATCATTCTTAGTGTCCCTGTATTGTCTATAGAAAAAAAGCTTTTGATTACATTTTTGGGGTCTTTGGGGATAGCATTGGTTTAAAAATAGTCAAAGGTCATTCAAAATTAAGAGTGGTATAAAATGTCACTGATTGCGACCACAACCTAGCAAAGGTTCAACAAAGTTAGACCAAATGAAAATTGTCCTGATATTTTTCCCAAAGTTAATCACTTGCTTTGAAAACATTTAGAAAAATTATCTTAGAAATTAGAAAAAAATCAGTGGAATATATGGGTCTATATCTTCTCATGAGAAATCCTAACTTTTTTTTAGAAGAATCATTTGTTAGTCCTGTTTAAGATAATGATTACAAAGGAAAAGTACATTAATATCTATTGCAATAAAAATGAAAAGTTGACTCTATGTTTCTTTTTAATTAATACTTGTTTCCCTAATTAGTTAAGCCTTTATGAGAGGTCAAAGAAAAGTTAAATTATTTGAATTCCTACAAATTTTTATTGCAAATCCCAATCTTACTTAAACTTCATTTTAATATGCTGCCCCTTTATGTTGGGCATAAAATCAAGTGCATTTTTATCTTGAAGACAAGACTCCCATAATATTCTTTTAAAACTATTAAAATGCTTATGTTGTCTTGAGTTGCAAACTGTATTTCAAATGCTGAAATTCCCAGTATCGAAAACATTGCTTTTTCTCTTATGGATATTTGAAGTTAAAACAGAAGAAACATTCCCCTTGGCTTTTTGGAAATTTCAGTAGAATTTTTCCTTAACTTCAATAATCAAAAACATTAGAAAGAGTAGTATGAAATGGATACATTTCATAGGACCAATTGGAAAACACCACACTGTGCACAGAAAGCAGCCTCATCCTAAATTAATAACCCATCTTTGAGGGAGGATAGAAGAGGGGGCACTGATGACAGAGCCCAGGGGCTTAATTCAGTCCTGTGCCACCACTGCGGTTAGAGAACTGAGTCACAGCAGAGAAACTTTTTGTGGCTTAAAATAGAAACCAGAAAGCAAGAGAAGTAAAGTAAAACATATTAGATGCAATGTGAGTCTAACTTGACACAACTTCCAAGCCCTTCAGACTCAGAGATATCAACACCATACATCTCCCGAATGATAATCATCTCTGACATGAGTGGCTCCTGCTTTGAATGGCTCATGCTCCCCTGATATCATACTTTTTAAATTATACAAATAGAGTGAAAATGACAAAGTACATATTAAAAAGGAGGGTATTACGTTTTGCAAAATAATCTGGAACTTATCAGTGAATTTTAGCAATTATAAATTATGTAGGTATGGTCTTGAGGTTGATTACCCTTTCCCTGAGTAACTCTCAAAATGGCAAACCTAAAGTTCTGGGAATATTATCCAAATTACAATTATTCACGTGTCATCCTTTTTTATTTCAAGAACTTTGAAAGTAAAGCCAAACCAAATCAATGTAAATTGGTGGATTTGGACATCCTCTTCGTGACCACATTATCCTTGCTGGATTGGAAACTACTTATTTTGGAAATATAATTAGACTTTGCATGATTTTTAAATGAGCAATGTCTTCAAGGTACCCACGTTATGCTTTAGTGAAGTTTGGACACAAATTACTCTGAGAGTTACCTCTTTCAAGAAAATAACATGATGGAACACTGACTGAAATTTTGCCTGTTCAGCTAAAAATACTTTGGGAACACAATGAAACTAAGTCATTGTACATTTATTTTTTTCATCACAATGGCATTAACAGCACTAATGAAACATTTTTAGAATAAATCCACATTCACTGAAATATTACTTCTACGTTCATCATCAACTGACTTTCTCATCTTTCAAAACAGTATTTACCATTAGCAAAATCATTGGATATTCCTGTAGGAGACTTTTGAAGCCCCTTCCATCCTTTTTCTTCTAAAGAAGCTTAAACAAGGATAGTCATACAATTAAGAATTATTAGACCAAATGGTGGTATAAACCCAGTGGAAAGAATGCAGCTGTCATAAGTAATTCCCACCATAAATCTTAGAAATTTTCCAAAAAGAGATCTTAGAGACCAGCACTGTGTCCAGAGTTGACTGGTTTATTTGCCAAAATATGGGCAGATTTTGACAATGCAGATGAGCCTGTTAAATGTAGTTGCAAACTGTGGATTAAGTAGCATGCTTAATATCCTGAATTATGGACACACCATGGGAGACATGGAATTTGATTCTGGTTGAGATATGCATCCTAAAAGCCTACTTGTTTTTCTGATCTATAACAAAATGCATCTGATCCTCTGGAGCCTGCAAATATGAGCTGGAAATTTTGCAAACAGTCCCTCTCCTGAGATTTATAGTGCTTCCTAATTCCTAGGAGGCCAGAGCTACTGCAAGAAGAGTCATTCTTGTAATACTTTGGACGTCTGGCTTTCCCCTGGCAAGAACCACTTCACAGGAACACTTAGACTGCCTCCACTCAACTGCACATTACTTTCTCTGTCCTTCCAAAATCTTGTTTGGGTTCAGAGCTGGCATCAGGGGAGGTCTTTGTGTCATTCAGACCTACTCCTTCTTCTCTAAATTGAAAGTGTTTCCAAGCTCTTATTGCTGATTAATTTGCTCGTACACTTTAAATTCAGTGACTGAGTGTACAGAATATAATTTTAAATTTTTATATTTAATATCTACTCCACCTCAAGGATTGGAATGTATGCTGTGTCTGTATGTGCCAGGGTTATTTAATTATTGCTAATTTCTCGTAAAATGTTCATTCATGCCATTTCCTAAGAAGGATCACCTTGGAAAGCATTAACACAATTTTGATGGCAAGATTGCTTTTATTTTATAGATAATAACCATTCTAAATAGATTTTTTAAACTATAAGGGCAATATAGTTCCGTGGTGTAAACCAAAATTATACAACATGGAAGACTGTGAAGTGAGAATGAAGCATTTGCCCCAACCTGCTTTCCGAAGATAGTCATTTTTAACCGCCCTGTTTGGATTCTTTTTATTGTTACTCATTTTATACTAATGTATCATATTTCTGGTTATAACACATTACCTTTAGGTGATC